TATAGAGGAATATTAATTCCCACAGTTTTTGGTTGGGTTTTCGAATTATCCCGAGCTGTGGACACCGCAATCCCATGGCTGCCGCCGCCGTCCATGCGCGGATTCAAAGCCAGGCGACTTCCATCCTGCAGTTCTGGTTCGGTACCGCCTATCCACTCAACATCCAGATGCGGCAGATGTGGTTCATGAAAGAGGCTGCAATCGACGAAAGGATTCGGGATGCATTTGGTGCCTTGGTATCCGACATTCTCGATGCTGATTCCTCTGCCCTCCTTCCACTATTGCATGAAAGCCAGGCCGACGTCAAGGTTGCGACCGTGTTGTGCTTGGATCAATTCACACGAAATATCTATCGTGACCAGCCCGATGCATTCAGCGGGGATCGCGTCACGCAAAAGTTTGTGATGGACACCGTCGATTCCCCTAGTGCGATGCGTCAAATCAAACAGCTTCACGCCTTGGCACAGGGATTTTTCTTTATGCCACTCATGCATAGCGAAGAGGCGCACGTCCATGATGTAGCACAGCGAGTGTACAACGACCTGGTGGCGGAAAGCGTCGCGAACCCTGCCTTGCATGCCACCCTGACCAACTTTGCCAAGTTCGAGCTGGATCACAAAGTCATCATTGATCGCTTTGGTCGATACCCCCACCGGAACGCCATACTCGGCCGCGAAAGCACTCCCGAAGAAATCGCGTTCCTGCAGCAGCCCAATTCGAGCTTTTAACTCGAGTAACATTGGAGTATCACAGGTATTAGTGTGGACCACACTAATTCTGAATCAGCAGACATGGTGCCCTCTCCACACAGTTACTCCATCGACCAACACTAATTCAGAATCCACACTATACTCCAATCCACACTAAATGTGATTATCGGTGTCATCACAAGTTTTTCAATTCAGGAAGATCGTCGACCACGTCTGCATAATGCCGTTGGCGGACAGCAGTCGCGTGGGGGCTCGTGAAACTTCGGGCAATCATTGGGGCTCTGTGGAGTTCCTGGGACGATGGAGGATTTTACGTCATTGCCAAAACCGGACGAGATGGACAACAACGTAGAGAATGAATTGACGACAAAACTGGAGGTGTCATGAAAAAAAACATCCCAGATAAAAAACTATATAGTGAGAAAACATGCAAATACATATATATTTAATCCATTCTCGTGCACACTTCGCATGATGTAGGCACAGCCATAGCGGGTTGTCGAGACTACTTTAGAGCACGGCGGGTTCTGGCATTGCTCCTTCGTTAACAGCCGTGCCGTCTGGCTTGGTCTCGTTCGCTATGATACACAAACGTTACTCGAGGAAGTCGACTCCACATCAAACCTCGCTCTTGAGCGCGAATGGCGCTGGCGGCGACGAAATCTTCTTGGCTAGTGTCCGCTTGCTCTTGGAGCGTGTCCATGTCTGGCTTTAATAGGGCAGACAGTGGAAGGGTCAAGAGGTAATCAAATTCTCGCCTACGGTGCCAGCGTTAAGCTTGTTGTCGACGGCAACGCAACGTACTCGTTCTCGAAATGGTCAAACCCGCGCTGTCGCAAATCCTTGACAACGTCCTTGCGATCCCGCCGCCCGAGCTTGATCTTGCCGTCCGCAAGCGCGTTGATAAACAGCACTTGGTTCATGAGCTTGGTGTTGAGCTGTTCCATGGCACAGAGGCAATGCGTCTTGACGCAATGGTCGCAGTCGGCGCACTTGGGCTCCCCTTCGCACGAACACCCGTCCGATTCGGCGGGCGGGCAGTCGCAGTGGCGGGCGATACAGTTTTGACAAATCTCGCACTTCTTGCGGTGGCACGCACACGCTTTGCGTTTTTTGGCGACGCTCGGAGGCGGCAGTCGCACTTGTTCCGTGTCGTCTCCAGCCCGAGTCGTGTCTGGCTGCTCGTCTTCGTGCTCGTCGACGTCTTCACCGCCGTCCGATGCTTCGGCATTTCTTCCGTCACACTTGCAATGACGAGTGAGGCAGTTGCGACAGGTTTCGCACTTCTTGCGATGACACGTGCAACCGCGGATCGAAGATGGCGCGAGGCGCTTCGTGGAGGTGCGCTTTCGGGGCTTACCGGTGACTGCTTCGTCCTTCACTGCGACTGATGCACCTGTAGGCTCTTCTTCTTTGGTCGGTTCGTCGTCGAACGTCGCAGTTTTCGCCCGCTTTGTCCTGCCACTCTTTTTGCAGGTGCAGTGGCGTTCCATGCAGCTCAGACACGTGGGGCATTTCTTCTTGTGGCATTTGCATGGTTTTTGGTAAAGGGTGTCTGGGAGGACGCGGAGGCGACCGACCGAGTCCGAGACGTCCGGCATGGTTTTGAAGGGCTGGGGGCCTTTCATCGGAACGTCTGGGGCAAGCAAGGCGTGGACGAACGAACCCGAGCCCACCATCCTCGACGCGGTGGCGTCAGCTGAGATGAGGAGATTCGTTTCAGTTAAGTACTTGCGCCAATTCACCGCAGACGTCTCGGGTGCGGCGGCGATCGTGGCACCCCCCTCGTCGGGGGCGTCTTTCCTCTTCACGCTCATCCCCCGTCGATCAGGTTCAAAAATGGGATTTCGGCCGAAGTATTGTTTCAACCAATCACAAGCCGCGAAGGGTGGTCTCTCCTGATTGGCTGCTCGAGAGGGCGAAGCCATCTGGACGAATGGACACCACATGGGCAACGAAATTGCCGCGAACGACGACGTGCGGTGCGGGTGGTTGGCGACGTTAATTGAGGAGCCGCCTCGCATACGTATGCGCGGGCGTTATAGGGGCTTAAGTGATGTTTATCATGGTCAAGATCGAGGTCGCGTGCGGTCCGGTCGTTCGGGTGGCGTCCTCTCCACAACGTCGTGAGAGCGTTTCCGACCAGTGCTCTTGCCGGTGCTGCGTGCAATCGAACCCTTGGTGTAGTGTTGACGATGTGGAGGCGCAGCTTGCATGAATCTTGACACAGGCAGCGACAACAGATACTCAAAATCGCCCCTACATGCGTTCGTTCCATCAGACATGGGCGAGGGATCTCGTCGACGGCGTGGACGTCGTACTCGTGCGGGTCGAAGTTGAGGGCGCGGAGGGTTTCGTGGACATCGTGTCGCGATCGGTTGAACAGCTTGACGGTTCGATCTTGGACTGCTTGGATGAATCGCAATTCGTTATCCCGTCGAGCGAGCAATGTCAACGCCGTCGTCGTATGGGAGGCTGGGCCGCACGAGCAATGCGTGGCAAAGCAGTTCTGGCACACTGGACATTTGGGAAGGCTGCAGCCGCATTGGGCGGGGCACGTGCAGTCGAACTTGATGCAGTTGAAGCAACTCGTACATCGCTGAAACGATGCAGGACAGGCACATGTCGACAACGTTGTTGGAGTGGACCTGGGCTGGTCGTCGTCTTGCTCCGACGAGCTGCTGTCTATCGGCATGGCAGCATCCGATCGGCGCGACGACGCGTTGTGGGGCGTCTTTGGAGGAAGGACTGGAATCGGCTCGGTCGTATCAAACCAACCGTCGTCGTCGTCTATCTCGACAATTGGCGGACTTGCCCTGGCGGTGGATTTGGGAAGAGGGGACGGCGTTTTCGCGGCAAAAAACCTGGACGAGGTTCGTGTCGCATGGGTTGGAGGCGTCGCTGATGAATGGCGCGTGGTGGGTTTGGGTGGGAGCTCGACGGGCTGCGATGTTTCCCACAAGTCCAAGTCATCGGGGGGCATGGGAAGCGGCAGGGCACGAGGTGCTTTCTTCCTCTGGATGGGTGCCACGGACTCGCTTGATTTGTGGGACGAAGCTGACCGGGACCGTAGTTTTGTTGGCAGACGAAGTGGGAGTGACGCCATCCACTCGTCAAAGTCAGGGGGAGGCGCCGCGGCGGAATCCGTCGGCTGCCGCGAGGACGAAGTGCGCATGGTGGACGGCGTGTTGGGACCTTTCAATGTGGCCGTCGTGGTGTGGGGTGCCTTGGACTTTTGGGTTTTCTGCGTCGAGCACGTACACGCGGGCTTCTTGCACTCTTGGCAGGAGATCTTACACACCGCGTCATCGTCATCGCCGCCGTCGCCGCGACGCATTGGATTACATTTGCATTGCTTGTCTTGGCATTTTGCGCACGCCGCGGCACGCTGCCCCCTTGGTGGGGTGAGAAACGAGTTGCTGGATATCGCGACCCCACGACGATTCCGAGAACGAGGCGACAGTGACGAGTCCGACCGACTGGTGGAAAGAGCCACCGACGCTCTGGACGTGGTGCTGTCAGCAACAAATGCATTCAAGAACTGTGCCGCTGCTTGTTGGGACAGACGGGGAGGGTGTGGCGGCGGTGTTTGTGCCTTGGCCGCGAAAGTCGTCGCGCTTGTCGTGGGCTCTTGTGGCCGTCGAGAGGAAGAGCTCTACCGTGCGAATCGCATGCGCGCGTTGAAAAGATGCAAGGGGGAGGGCGGCAACCAACCTGTTTCAAACGCAAGTCGGCCTCGAGGGCATCTAGGATCGGCCCAACCGTGGCCGCTGTGAGACCAGTGAACCATCCACACGACGCGCCCTCCAGTGGCGGCGCCGTGCCCACCGACGCAGCTGTCATGTCTCGAAGTTGCGCGATCGCTTGGAACAGGCCGCAGTTTTCCCACGGCGACATGGACCGCTGCTTCTTGACTCGACGCGAGTACATGTACATGGCCGGCCAAATCCAAAACTTGAGCACGTGGCCAAGGGTGTCGATGGCTTGATCGGAGAACTCTGCGACGGTCGCCACAAGCGGCCAGTCGGTGGCATACTCTAGATTGCAAAAAAGGGCTCGACGTGGTTGCGCCGTGCTGCATGTCGTACCTGTGTGCGTCGCCAGCAATTGGTGGTACTGCAAGAGGTGAAGTTGCGCTGGCAGGGTAAACCCATGCAGGAAGAATCCGGAGAAAATGACGCACGTCGCGGAGGATGTATCGTCGTGGAGGACGTTGGAAGCCCACATCCACCCTGGCGGGATGAAGAGTGTATCGTTCGGGCGCATCTCGACGCGGTGGCATCCGTGCATGCCGTTCCCCAGAAATAGAAGCGTGAACCGCGACGCGTGGTGCTTTTCATTTCCGGCAAAGTGTGCCAGGTTGTCCGGCGATGGAGGGATCAGGAACACAGTCAGTGAAAGGCCACGGCCGATCGAGATCCACGACGACGTGCCCCATGGACTCATGCGAAAGTCGCGGTACGACGCCATGCCTTGAATGCACGCAAACGTGTTGGGGTTGAGAAGGCCCGTCGGGTTGAGTTGATGGAACCAGTCAATGTCTCGCACCACTACAACCCATGTTTGATACACGACTGCCGAACCAAAGACCTGGCCATCCGTACTTGGTGGAGCCTTGAATTGGCGCTCCAACGGTGTGTCCGCGATCGGGAATTCCACCAGCGACCGCCGGAACCGATTGTCGCGGCAGACGAGCTCCAAGTCGTCTTGATTGCATGGCTGTAGCGTGGAGGTGTTGGAGTGGCCGACGCGAACTGGTAAACTGCCATCGGCTGGACGACCGACAGAAGAATGCAAGTGGGAATGCATGGAAAGCGAATGTCGTACCCACAAGAGATGGAATATCTTTCGGCGTGATGGGGTCGTCGGGAATGACCATACCGGGGATCTTTCCTTGCACGAAAATGGGATCGCGGAATCCGTTGCATTGCACCATCGCCGACATGATGGCCTACCAGGAATGCGCTTCGATCAGTGTGCTTCGTCCTCATGATGGGCTGGGCACCTCTGGAGCGGCATGTCGGATGGCCACGTTTGGAAACGTTGCATTGCGCAAGAACAGTCGGAAATCGTCGAGGGAGTTGCCGTGCTCGACCACTGCTGCATACCATGCTGCTGAATCCATCGCGTTCATTCCTGGCAGTACGAGCACTTGGGATGGAGGGTCGATGTCTAAGTCCAAGCGTGAGATGGAAATGCGTACGTTACTATGAGAAATGGAGATACTGGGCGTGGAGAAGCACCGACGTACATGTACGTCCCCGGCCTTTCGCCGTGCAGTCGGGGCATGCATATTGGCAGATCCGAAGGGCCTCCTCTTCCTGGACGTCAGCGCAATCGGCATGCACATAGCGGCTGCAATAGGAGCATAAAACATCATAACCTAAGGCATCGCACGCTTGGTCGCAGACACGGCAGCCGGGCACCGATCCCGTGGTCTGTGCCACCACCATGGCACTAGGTAGCAATCGAGTGCCGCACTCGGCGCACCTAATCCTTCCATCTGATTGGTTGAAAGTTTTTTCATGTTTATGTGATTGGTTGCTTCATTTCATTCTGAGATATGATTGGTTGATTCGTGAACAACAACTTGCTTCCAACAACCGCGCTTGCTGCCACCAAGAAAGAGCCTATTCATCCTGGGGCAGGAATGCCTGGCGTCTCAAGTGTGACCTCTGTCGAGGCTGCATCGAGTTACTCAAGGTACGAGTTGCGCGTAGGAAGGATTTGCCCTTCTGATCGCTACGGTTGGAAAAGTAGTCGAGCAACCCCAAGTGTCAGAGGCAACAGTCCCAACGTCCTTCGACGTGCTTGCAATGGTACCACACAAACCGTTGTGGTCAAGCTGATGATGGTACCTCACGTGAGGATGGGCTCCTGCACGTAATATGCGTCGTCGTGGACGCCATCATAGCGGTCTTACACCCCTGAGGTCCAGGGGCCAGGAGGACAGCGGGCTCCTTCGCGGCGCATGCGGCAATGTATGATGGATATTGAATGCGCCGCCGCCTTCGCCGTGGGGGGGGTCATTCAAAATTTAATGAGTATACTGTCATGCACGTATAAAGGAATTTATCGGCGACGGGTCGACGTTTTTAAAATATGTGGGGCCCCCCTACCCAAAGTGGAGTAATCGAGAGGATGTTTCTGCATCTTCCCAGGAGAAAACAGTTGTGAAACGCCCTCGATCGAGCGCAGCCCCACTAGCATGAACGACTCGCTGCTGGATGAACTCGAGAAGGCCGATGTCCATCGACATGATGTCTATGACCCCAACGCGTCGTACCAACCGTTGCTGGAGGAGCACAACGCCGAGAGCGATGCAACTGCACTGAAGAATCAACGTTCGCGGTCTGCAGAAGATGCGGAAGCGTTGTGGGCCGAGTTGCACAGCCATCCTCCTCAGGACCGCACTCGAGAGTCTCCATCGAGTGCGTTTAAGTTTCGATCGCAATTGGCGCAACTGACGAGCAACATTCGCCCTCCTACGGCGTCACCTCAGTTCCACAGCACAAGTGCGCGAGGAAGCCACGGAGGCGCCAACAGAAGTCCCAACACCCATCCCGTCCGCCGAAATTTTTCGTCTCCTCACTCCACAACTCCTGCATCTCATACGAGCGTCGACGTACGTCGACACCTGAAGCTCCCATCGTTGGCCGACGTCAAGAACAACTGGCTGCTCACCTCTCGCGGCCGCCACGTCCCTGACGAGTTTGGCCATGTCGAGAACGTGGATGCGTTTTTGATTGCGCTGTACAACTACTACTACCACAACGGGATGTCTTGCTACATTGGGAAGGAGGGTGTGCAGCTACTCAACTTACTCTTCACCGTGTGCATGTCGTCGTTCTTGATGGGTTGCATTCAATGGCGCGAACTTGCGACGTGTCCGTCGAGTCCCAACGGGTGCAAGCGTCCATTGTCGGACTTTGTCACGTGGCAATTTGAGGGCCACTGGACGTCGACCGTCGTGCTCTTTTACTTTTTGATCTTCTTTGCATTCTGGATCACGCGAGTCGTCGCGTTTATCTCGAACGCTCGCGACGCGTACGACATGCACGGGTTCGTGGTGGAAAAACTTCGTATCGACGCGCGGCATATCCAAACGATAACGTGGAACGAAGTGGTCGACCGCGTTGTCGCGCTCCTTCCGCCGTCCGCCGACCAGTCCAAGCCGCTCAAGCCCACGCCATTTCAATCGTCGTACCAGCTCCAAATCGACCCGACGCAATTGGGCACGCCCCTCGCCATGGCCCGCCGCATCATGCGGAAAGACAACTTTATGATTGCATTCATGAACGCTCCAGTCTTCCATACGGCGCTGCCCGTCCCATCATGGTTGCCGCTGTCGTCGCACGCCGTCTTTAGCCGCAACATGGAATTCAACCTGCAGCTGTGCATCTTGGACCCGATGTTCGACCCGATTGCTGGCGGTAGCTTGCGCGCGCTCTCGGCAGACGACCTAAAGAAGCGGTTGATGGCGGTCGGGATGGTCAACTTGCTCCTGACGCCATTTCTCCTCCTCTTTCGCGCGATTCAATTTTTCCTCCTCGGTGCCCAAGAATGGTCGGTGAATCGAGCGTCGTACTTGAGCTCGCGTCGGTGGAGTCCGCTCGCAATGTGGACGTTCCGCGAGTACAATGAACTCCCTCACGTGTTTGACGCGCGCATCGAAAAGGCCGCGCCGCTGGCGGAAGCATACCTGGCGCTATTTCCGTCGGGGCTGGTGTCGATCGTTGCGAGCGGGGTCGCGTTCTTTGCGGGGTCGATCATGGCGGTGCTCATCTTCATGAGTCTGGTCGAAGAGTCGATTGTGCTCGAGGTCGAAGTTGGCAGTCGCCAGTTGATTTGGTACTTTACGATCGCGAGCGGTGTGTTTGCGCTCGCCCGGAGCTTCCAGTCGCCGTCGCGCTTCCTCGCCACCGAGTCGTGCGAAGACGCGATGACGCGACTCGCGGCGGAAACCCACCACTTTCCGTCGGCGTGGAAGGGGTACGGAACTCCCTCTCGCCTGGCTGACTTGTAGGTTGTAGACAATGCCACACGTTTGCGACGCGGGACGCGTTGCTCGCCCTTTTTCCGTACAAGACGGTGCTGTTCCTGGAGGAATGCCTGATTGTGCTGCTGACGCCGTTTGTGCTGTGCGTGTCCCTCCCCGACGCCGCACCCGAAATCGTCCGGTTTATCGAGGACCACACGGTGACGGTGCCCGACGTCGGCGCGGTGTGCCGGTTTGCCGAGTTTGACTTCAAGGCGGACGGCGGAGAAGCCAAGATGGAGAGTTCATTTATGAACTTTAAGCGCCACCATCCGTCATGGCATGGACCGCAGGAAGGCGAGGACCTCGTGAACGAAATCACTCGATTCCGCGGCCAAGAGCTGGAAAAATCGCTCCGCCTCGGCGACACACTCGGTGGCCCGGACGCACTGCTGTCCAGAACCATGATGATGGGTGACAGTATGTTTCATAGCACGGCATTTGGTGGGGGGCAGTTGTCGCAGTCGCAGCAACTCATGCAGTCGCATGCGATTCACATGGCGCTGAACGGTCCGCAGTCGAGCGAGTACTACTGGCTGCAAAAGGTGACATGATCTCGACCTGACAGGTGTTGGCTCATGTGCACATAGTATCACGACCGTCCGAGTCATCCGTTCCATGAGGACGAAGCCAAGGAAGACATGCAAGCGTCGCTGACGATGTAGAGATTGGATGGAAAGAGGAAGCGGTCGAGTGCATGAGGTATTGACATGGTGCACCAAACGTCCGATAAGAAACAAGTGAGTGAATTTGACAACGATCGCGTGGTGGCCACCATGTCGAAAACGAATGGACGAGAGCACGTTTCATGATGGTACATCGATCATTCGGCCCCTGTCCGCGTGTGTAAGCTGTCGCGGCTTCAACACCGCCACGATATGACTATCGGGCGAAGTGCGCTTGGCCATGGCTAGTTTCTATAAGTCAAGGTTGTTAAATTCACACACTGCTACCGTGGGGCACTGGATTCCGTCGACGAGATGTCTTCACCGGGTCAGGACAGACGACACAGTCGTGGGAATGTTATAAACGTCCAAGTCCTTGAGCGAGTTGATTGTGCCGTTGAGGATGATGAACGACCCGACGATTTGCGTCGTTCGAATGCTGAGTCCCTTGGGGAAGACGAAGGCTAAAGTGGTGGCAACCAGTCGTCGTGCTTGAGGAGACGTAATGTTGGCGGGCACACGGGCATTCGCGTGCTCAATGAGATCGTTCATGTGACGGCCATACGTCTTTTGCGGGTTCATCAACTTGAGCGTAGACAAGTTGTGCGGCACGTGCGAGAAGTACCCAGCGAACACACCGGCGACCATACTCCCCAGAGCGTTCTTCAATATGGGTTGCGAGTCGTCCAGAGGAATGCGCTCTTCGCAGTAGTCGGACAATTGATTGAGACCCACACCAAAGATGATTTCACGCACGGCACGGGGAGCCCACCCCCGGATCCATCGCGTCGCCAATGGCTCGGGGTTCATGTGACCAGCATTGCATGCTTCCAGCATACTGCTCACAGGCGTCATGATGATACCAGGTGCAACAGCTTTGGCGACGCGAATGTAACCTGGGTTTTCGTACGTTTCGTCGTCAATGTTCTTTTCGAGGTAATGTCGAATGCCCTTGAATCCATTGATATAAGCGACACGAGTTGGAATTTGCACGCCCATGTTCGGAAACAACGTTGCCGGAGCTTGTCCCGTCAGTCTGGCGTTCAAGAACGAGTTCAGTGCACTGCGGTAGAAGGATTCCACACTTGCGGCAACGGAAGTGGCAAAGATGGGGGTGGGTTTTGCATGTTGTTCAAGCAAGGGAGTGTTGAGAAGATTTATGTGGCGGCGGACTTCTCTGTTGAGCGAGTACATGACGTCTGTAGCAATTTCAGGATCGGTGAGGAGTTGAGACAGCGATTGCGAGGTCAACGAATACCCAAGAACAGGGGTGACACACTTGGCCGTTGCGGCCGCGGCGTCTTCGCGCAGGGCATGGTTGCTTCCCAACGCCATACCGGGTGTGACTTCGCCCCACGAGTGGACTTGTCCGTTGATATCTTTCATCTCCGCAACTGTGCCTCGGGCGACAACAATCAATTTCGTTTGCGGCGATCCTTGATGAAACAACACGCTGCCTTTTGGGTGCGTTTCCGCGACTGCACGCGCACACAATTTACGTAAGGCTCGTTCATTGCAATACGCAAACATGCGCACTGTACTGATCTTGTGCACGCAGTCCTGTTGTTGTTCTTGCGTCAAGGTCATGTCGTCCGTCGATCGTCGTAGTCGCGCGCGCCAAGATGTACCTGCTGTGGGGTGCGTCGTGTATTCCAAACTGGCGCTGGATCCGCGGGCTTCCAAAACATCCACCAGAATTTCCACCAATCACAGCACTCGACGTAAAGTCACGGTTCACCTTTGGGTTGAACACACGAGCCAATCAGACGCGGCAGCGGCATTTTCACACGCTGGTCGCCGCGGCGTCGCGACGAGGGCGGCAGGGTTGCGCAATCGGGGATATGGACGACACAAGGACAACTTGGAAAATGCGGGTAAGCGACAATGTGACCGCTGTGTTTGACAAGCGCGGCGGAAGTCTCTACTCGGCAAGAGGCATGCCAAGTGCAAGTCGTGTCTCGGCAGGTGGTTTGGTGTGTCGAAGGCTTGTTGCACACAGGTGCGTTGTACGGACGCTGATGCAGGACATCATGTGTATAGTCGCCGTCTAGGATGTGGGGACCGATGCGGCGTCAATGGTTGTGTGCATGCGACGGTCGACGAGTGTGGATGGATGTCGGCGTTCATTAGCGTTTCTGGCGTGGTGGGCTGTGTGCTAAGACCCCGCGAACGCATCGTCCATCGTGTGTCTATGAAGTCGGTCCAGGGCGATTATTTCTTCTCGGGCATATCTGAGCACGACAAGCAATGGCGTTTGTCGCAGACGGCGTCGACACATTGGAGTCCCAAGGTGTCGCCGACTACGATATTTCGTTTAAAAATTTCCCGAATCAATAGCATGAGCATGTAATTTAATTTTTGGCGGCAATACACAACGACGACGACATGGCCGCGTGAGGTGTGGCACGCCAATATGATTAGACAGCTGCGGCGGCCATACGCCAGCTGGACGCAATCGGGGCGGCATCATTGGCCCTACCGCGGCGATGGGCGGTGTGATGCAGGCGAGGTGGCGGGAGATATGCCCCCCCAACTAGCCACTGATGGACGAGAAGACTCCGAGCTGGCGGAAACAGTCACACAACCCCATCGAATCGCTCGGCCTTCCTGCGAGAGTGTTGTCGGTTCGATTGCCCGAAACAATCGACGGTGGATCCGTTTGGTTGGCAACGGGGGTGTTGGGGGCTTTCGAATGCTGGACATTTGCACGATCGCCAACCAATGTCGTTTACCCACGTCCAAGCGCATGATGTGATACAACTTGAAATGGTGAATTGGATAAATGTGCTGTCGTCAACACGATAACCAACCTCACTATTACTTAGCAGTTGAATTTATTGCAAGGGAATCGTGATACAAGCGACGTTTGCTACATTTTGCGATCACCAGCGCGCGGTGGGCGCCAACGCATAGTACCTCGAATCGTCGACTGTCCGGCGGTGTCCACTCTTTATGTGATGGGGGTGGCGACGACGACATGCGCTGCGCGACTTCCCGTGGAAGGGCTATTTGTTTCCGGGGCTGGCCACGAGCCAGCACCGCATCCCGCCGGCTCCGCCAACATGGACGTGGCGCTCCCTCGCCAACGAGTCCTGGTCAAGCGATAAGGGCACCTTGTAACACCCTTGTGCTTTCAAAAAGTCATCGAGTGCGAGAATCTGTGCCCCCATGTTGCCTCCTACGCGCTGGACCTCGTCGTCGCATTTGAGGAGGCTTACAATGCCACATTATTCCACAGCGCTCAGCCTCTCTCCCACAAAATCCTTGCCTTGGTGCAGGTGTTAGCCTGTACACAGGCCGGTCGGCCTCTCGGACGAAGCGGTGCTCTCTGCCGTGCCACAACCTAAAGAAGGATGAAATTCGTCCGGATAATTCGGATACGACATGTTCTTGTCGCTTGTGACAGCCCACTTGCCTTCTTCTCCCCGCCGCCATGTCGTCCGATGGCTATGACCCCGCCAAATCCCGCATTGCCGACGACACGTTGGCGGATTTCTTGCGCGCCCCGCTAACCGGAGTCCTCACGGAAGTCCCTGGTATCGGCCCTGCTGCCGCCAAGAACCTGGCCGCGGGCGATGACCCAGCGGACCAAATCACCAACACGTTTCAATTGATGGGCAAGTTTATGCTCCTGAAACGCAACGAAGACGGGTCGGACGAACCCATCGATTGCCGCACGCATTGCGATGCGTTTTGGCATTGGCTCAAGTCCAAGGGCATTACGTCGTACCGCAGCGGCATCGTCATGGCGATTGCGGAAAAGATGAACACGATGATCCCTGGCGTGTACGATGCATGCGACTTCAACTAAAGGGTTTTCGTCAGCCCATAACAAGACTCAATCCCGTGTTTCGACGTTATTCAAGTCACGCAGACTTGGACATGGCTTCGATCTTCATCGCTTGCTCCTTGGACAGGAGGGGATCGACTTCCATCAGAGCTTCCCACAGCGACAGCTTTCTCGGCCGATTCAATGCGACAAACTAGAGGGATGTCACGACTCGCTCCGACAAGTACTTGACTGCAGTTCTCGTCGTACCTTTTCCGCCGCATCCATCGACGTGTAGCGATATGCCATGGCCTCCCGCATGACTCGTTCCGATTCCAGACGCTTTCGTCGGATCTGCGCTTGAATGTGTTGCAATTGCTGTCTGTACATGGATGTAGAGAGCGTTGTATTGACACTGGCCATGTTGGCGTCGACGAACGACGGAACGGGTTGTGTTGGGGGCATCCGCGAATCGCACGCAGGGTGAGGCGGTGGGGGCGGCTCGAGCGACGACGATAGAGGAGGCGATGGAATGGGAGAGTCGGGAAATGTTGGAGTACCAGGACGGGCGCTTTGGGTCTCACGCAACGATCCATCGTAGGCCGTTGGCTGGTGAGGGTTCACGTCAGCTTGGATGAGCACGTGGTTACCAGTAAACTGCGTGCTCGCGTCCTTCATTTCAACTTGACCTCGCGGAGTTTGCTCGTACTCGCGAACGATCACCACTCGACGCCGTGCGGTCGTGGATGGCTGGGTCCCTAGATTGGCATGCGTGGACGGCGTCGGAAGAGAACTGGACGGCTCCGTTCTGTGGCTTTTCGAAGTTGAGTTGGGGTCCATCGCGTTCTTGGCCTCGTTTATCGTGGTGAATTCATGAGCCGTTGATGGCATCTCGTGGGGTGGAGCCGCTTTTTCTTGCAAGGACAACTGGTACGTTTGAGGAACTACCTGCATTGCAAGAGGTACTGATGGCGATGACGTGCTTGGTTTAATGTCCTGGCTTGGAATCGCCACCACCGCGTCTGCAACGGAGGCCGTCGTTGGCGCCTGAAGCAGGTCGTCCGGGGAATTGGCTTCATCGCCATCGAATTCACTGGATGTTTCGTGTGCAATAATAGCGTGGTTGTGTTCGTAGAGCACGTTGGGCTTTGTGGGGGGCCGTTCGTCGGCGAATGACTCGTCCAGGTACTTGTCATCGACAATCTTTTTCATGGCGGCGGGTGGTGGTGCTGTGGTGAAAGGACGCGATGCAACCACTGGTGGCGGAACAGTCGGCTTGGTCGGGGATTGAGATTCGGCAAATGATTCGTCCATGTACTCGTCGCCGCTTTCGGGATTTGACGTTGATGGTTTTGGCGGAGACACCTGTGGGGCTGGAACGACAGATGCGGGCTTGTCATCGTCGGAGAAATCCATCGAGTAGTTGAAAGACTGTGTCTGCACAGGCTTGGGGGTGGTTGTGCTCACGGTGGGTGTCGCAGGCTGGGGGGGCAGGGCAGCAACAGTCGGCTTGGAATCCTCTTCCCACGATTCTACTTCGTCTTCGATGTCGCTGTAGTCTTCCTCTTGGACGACTGGAGATGCTTTCTTGGCACCAAGGGAAAAATTGTCGGAAACCACCGTCTTGGTTGGAGGTACTGTGTTTTGTGGCTTGGCTGGTGGTACAGGGGGGTCGCCTTCGCTGTCGTCGATTGCTGGGTGCACTAGATACGGGGGAGTTTTCGCTGGCGCAGTACCAGCGACGATTGGGTTGTCCACAGGGAGGTCCTTCTGCGTGCTTGACGGGGTTGAAGACGGTTTTGCTTTGGCGGCGGCTGGGATGTCCGTGCTTTCGTCAAGGCCACTGAGCCCACTGATGTCCCCAACAGATTCGTCGTGACGAGCGTGTTTCGATTCAATGTCGGAAAAGTCGTCTGTCGAGCCTTCGACGGGGCGGTTCTTGGACGCTGGTGTTTTCTTGGGTGTCGGCGTGTCGCTGTTGTCATCGTCGCTGAGGTGAACCCGTGTTCTATGGCTCCCAACATGAACAATGCACATTTTGTATCAAGACGTACTTGGGAATGGCTTGCTTGGTAGAGTACTTTGACAGGAAGCTCTTGGCTTTGTCTAGTGCATTGGATGTCGACAGCACGGTAGATGGTTTGGCCGGTGGTTTCTTCGCTCGTTTCGACGGCTTTTGTGGCGACGGTGTCGACATGCCATCATTGTCTTCACTGTCGTCGTCGCTTCCGTCGTGGTACCTGGACGACGTCGGCGTCTTGATGTTCCCAGGAATTTGAATCTCAAAGTTGTACGGGTCATCGTCCGCCATGCCTGCGTGATGCCGTCCGTCAAGTCCCGTCAAAGATCCACAATACCGCTTCGAACAAGTGGCAGTTTCACAGTCGACGAACATGGTAAACACCAAACGACCGATTTACGCTCAACCTCTTGCGCAATCCATGGCCTGCGCTCCCGGTAGGGTCCACGGACAAGAATAGATTACACTACCGTGCCATGAATTGGTAAAGCGACCGAGCGAATGGTTCCAAGTGCACAACAGGGACAATTTTATATCATTAACAGGTTCTCTGGCGGCGCTCTCCGTGCGCCGACGCCCATGCAGCGCGGAAGAAGATTCAAAAGGGACGGATCCGTGAAAGGGAAATGCACGGAGATGCGACGCGCATGGCATGTTGTTTGGGCACACGAGTAACATGACCCTTGAAACATTTTGCAATGTACTCTTCTTCCCTCTGCGATGTTTATTCGTGGATGCATGCTGGAATGGGAAAGACAGCAAAGATGGATGCAAGCAACGGAAACAGACTCGACAGTCGATGTCGCATCGCGTGGAAAACCTCAGCTGGTACCCGAAAATCTTTTCCTCATACTGGAATCAGAGGTATATGTTGTTTAGTGGTATCGTCGTTGGTTTTCAAATATACAAGAGATAGAGAGATGGCGCGGGCGCCATCACCACAACATGCACGTGTTCATCAGATCATCGTAGTCTTGAAGGTTGCATCCACACCATGGTTCAGGACGATAGTTTTCGAACATCACGTGAACGGGGGGCGTACATACATGCAAGGATACAAACATGCACCATGCAGGGCTGTAACCTCAGTCACCAAAGGTGTCATCCAGTTGTCAGACATACGCTTGGATTGAAACATCACAGGTTCGTCGTCGAATCCAGCCATCGTCCGCTTCCTCGACCATTTCCAAATGACCTGATGCGCCGACGAGGAATCGTCGAAAATGACTGGTGGTCAATTCGTCGGTGTTTGATTGGTTGGTCTATACTTCTGTTTTGGTTGGCGGAAATTAGAATGGAATTCAACCAATCATACGCATTCGTACCCCCTCACCAACAGCTTTCCTACCGACACCCCAAGCCGACGCAACACGGTGTGTGCCCGCCAACGCGCGACGCAACGAGGCTGCATGAGTGATGGGAATGCAATGTGTAGATGGCATCCATCGACAAGCTTACAGCAGACGTCGAATCTCTGAAGGAGAAGCTGCTCGAGTTCCAAGAAGCTATCAAGGTACGGATGAACCTCCCAGGAGATCGCCACGACCATATTTCTCAATTGACGTCCATGCAGACCGACTTGGTCACGGAGAATGGCATGGGTTTACTCCAAGTGAAGAACCATGCCATGATGCAGTACTCGCAACTGTCGTTATACTACGCACTGCACAAGGTATACTGCGTGATCCATCGAGCAATGGAATGAAGGAAATGTGGTGGAGTAGTTGGAGTCTCCGGACACCGTCAAAGGTCACTCCGTGTTCAAAGAGCTCGTTCGTTATCGCACTATTCTCGAGCGCATTCGGTAAGATTCTCGTGAATTGCGTGGCAGTCGCGTGATGCTCTTTCGTCAAGACCGTTCGATCGCAAGTTGAAGTACCAAGTCGACAAGCTGTGCAAGATGGCAGTGTCCGATTCCAAGGACGTCGATGCCGCATTGAGCTACGCGCCGAACCCCGAAGCCATGCAGAATGACGACGTCGCGGACGGCGGGGACGACGACGATGGCGACGATGACGACTCGGCCAAGAAGGGCATCTACAAAGCTCCGCGGTTGGCATCGGTGCCGTACGAAGAGGAAGAAAAGGAAGCGGAGAAGCAGGCCAAGCGCGACGAACGCAACCGAAAACGCATGGCGAAGAGCACGATTCTGAGCGAGATCCGCGACGAATACAGCGAGCGGCCAGAGGAGGTGTACACGGGCGGGAAGACCATCGACAAGGAAACGCTTCGGGAAGAGCGCGAGAAGACCGAGTACGAAGAAAGCCGCTTTGTCCGCGTCGTGACGTCGCGCAAGGACAAGATCCGCAAACGCCAGCGCGAACGCGACGCGATCGCGGCCGACTCGATTGGGAAAATGGACAACTTTGCCGGCATCCATGACGCGTTGGGCGAGTTTGCCGGCAAGCGATTTGTGGCTGCGGCTCCACAAAAGAAGCTCGGCGGCAAGATCGGCGGTATCTTTTCCCACGTCGATGTAAGTGAATCCCGTTTTGCGATGGAGCGCTATTCATGTCGTGTAAACGTTGTTTCGTGCATTGGCTAGGCGCCTACGAAGAAGCAGAAGACCGTACGCGCATCCAGCGCAACAGCACCGTCCGCGCCATCATCAGGAGGACCGTCAGCTCCGGCCGCGACCAGTGGCGCTCCAAAGCAAAAAGTTCGGTTTAATTGGTAGACTTTTCAGCACAATCAATGCAAAAACACGGGTATATTTGGCGCAAGCGGCGTGGATCATGTGCATTGAGGCCACGCATGGTTCCCTGCGGTGCGGGAATCCCTCAAACTTCCAGGCCACCGAAGGAACGACATGGACGAGATTGCCGTGAGTGGTAGTGCTTGCACAGTCCATTAACTTACGGCACACAGATTGCATTGTCGCACTGGTCAACAGTTGAACTCGTTACGACATGCTACGTTTGCGTAGGGAGATCGAGACGTTATTCGTTCTTGTGGCCAGTCTTGACAGCCTTGTCCCAGTCTCCGCGCACAAACCACGCCGCTATCGACGCAATCGGAAACAGCAGCACGTCCAACGCTGGGTTCTTGCGAGGGGACATGCCAGCACCGAGGACGCCGAGCAAGTTGATCCCAAAGTCGCCGCAGTAGATATTGTACGTGCCATTCTTGACGTCCTTTAGGATCGATTTCGCGACCGCCTCGGGCTTGTACAGCGTGTCCGACGCCTCGATCGACTTGCACTCAGCCGGTTTGGACAACTGCTCCTCGGCGAACCCAGGGGTGTCCATGCCGCCCGGGAACGCAATGTGAATTGAAATGCCCGACGCACTCAACTCATTGCGAAGACAGTCGGCGAGACCACGGACCGCGTATTTGCTTGGAGAGTAGGCAGAGTACCCGATGTAACTCGTCATTGCACAACCCGTCGTGACAAAGCAGATCTTTCCCTGTTGACGCTGGCGCATCGTCGGCAGCACTGCGTTGACCGTGTTCAAAGTGCCAAAGAAGTTGAGGTCCATCGCCTTGCGGTGAATGCCAATCGTGTTCTTTGCACTGTACCCCATCAAAGCCTTTCCTGCACACGGAATGAGGAGGTCGATGGGACCGACTTGGGCTTGCGCCTGGGCGACGGCTCTCTCAATGGCTTCCTCTCTCGTTACGTCCGCAGTTTGGAAGAAGATGCGACCGTGGCTTGGGGAGTTCGACGTGGCCACTTCGTCCACGACCTTTTGCAAGACCTCGGCGCGACGGGCCACAATAGTGACGTCAGCACCGGCCGCCACGAGTTGGTGCGCGATGGCACGGCCTAGACCTTCGCTTCCACCAGTCACCAAGACATGCTTTCCGCGGAAGTTGAATTGGCGTCGAGGAAGGAGCGCAGTAATGATGGCCAAGGTGACAGTAGCTGCGAGCGGCACCGCCAAAACGAGGAAGGCCGGGAAGTAGGGGGTCTCGGGCATCTGGACAACAGTCTTGTGGTGG